GTTTGAAACAGAGAGATGAAGATAATGAGTGTAAGTAGTAATGATGACAATAATAAACTAGTGATAAGGCTATCGATACTGATCATTACAATAATAATTAAATTATAATAACAGCAATAATAATGATATTGAACAATCATTTCAACGATAACAATGATGATGATATAATAATAATAATTAATAATAATAATATAATAAGAAGTAATAAATAATAATAATAATAATAATAATAATAAATAGCAGTAGTAATAACAACAGTAATGATAATAATAATAATAATAATAATAATAATAATAATAATAATAATGAAAATACAGATAAAAATAATAATGATGATAGCGATGTTGATAATGATGATAACAGTGATAGTAATAATAATAATAATAAAAATAACAATAATACCAATAATGATGGTAATAATAATGAGAAAAATGATAATAACAGTAAACTTAAACACATGAGAATTCGTTACAGGAGTATATAAACACTGCTTCCTCTAATACAAGACAAATTCCTAATTCTACACCAGAATATAACAGCAGAGTTCAACTAAATGTGTTTCAAGCTTATACACCAAGCTTGCGTAAGAAACTCTAGGAAATGCAGTAAATCTATAATGACCATAAATGTATCCACAGCAAAAAAAAAAAACATCTTTACAAAAATACCCTCAATATCACTTAAAATTCTGGATGAGGAAATCATATATTTTTTTCTATATTGTCTAAGTTATCACAACCCAAAAACTGAATGATGAAACGTGTACATAGTTTGTTATTTACTTTTATTCTTCCTCTATATTAAAAGGCGAAAAGGAGAGACCTTGACACCACTTAAGTGCACACAAGAGAGTATTTATACGTATGTTTAAGTGAAGGTTAAAAATAGAGTCTAAGCAAGTGTTCAAGGTAAGTGAATGTTCAGATTATTCAGTACGACTAAGTGAAGGTTCAAATTATAAGTATGTTTAGGACATACTTAGGAGAGAGAGAGAGAGAGAGAGAGAGAGAGAGAGAGAGAGAGAGAGAGAGAGAGAGAGAGAAGAGAGAGAGAGAGAGAGAGAGAGAGAGAGAGAGAGTCAAAAAAGTAAAGAAAAAGGAACAAGCAAAATGCCTCGACAACATATCAAAAAGGAAGAAGACCGAAAGAGGAAAGTAGAGCGAGAGAGAGAAGGCAAAAATCCCACGATATGATGAGATAACAACCATGGAAAGCGAGAGTTCCCTTTGCATGCGGGGTCCCTCATCCACCTCCGACCAGACAGGTTTGAAACATGCTTCAGTGCAGTGAGATAATCCGATGTAAAAGGTGCATTAAGCTCATAAATGGAAACGTTGGTCCTTCTATTTAAGTATAAATAATTTGTATCATTTTCTGCAATGCTATCTTTTATAGTCACTCGACTCTACACACCACACAGTGAAATGTGGACACAGTAGAATATCACCGCTATATAACGCTTCTTCACATCCACACAACGTATTACGTAACATTCGAAATTACATTCAGATAATATTACATTTGCTTTCTTTTTGTGACCCAAGGCGATGATGATATAACCGCATATACCTCACTATGAACAGAAATATTTGCACGAACACGGAGATATACATATATAAAAAATAATCTTACACACACACACACACTTACACACACGCGCGCGCACTTTCCCGCTATTGACACAAGAGGAATACACCTAACATCGCTACAGCCGGGTTGTGTAACTTATTACCTTGGGGAAAATAGTCTCATGCACGCACTCACGTTTTTCCCTCCCTCCCCCTCCCCTCGCCTTCCCTCCTCCCCGTCGTCCCTTCGAAATTAATTAGTACTTCGTGAAAGGGACATTTTTTTTCTTTCCTTCCTTCCTTCTTTCTTCGATCTTTCATTCCTTCCTTCAGTCTTCCATATATCTTTCCTTTCTTCTTTAAATCGTTCCTTCATTCTTCCTTCTGTCCATCGTTCCTCCCTCCCTTTCTTCTATCGTTCTTCCAATCTCCTTTTCTTCCTTACTTCCATCCATCCATCCTCCATTTTCTTCCTTTGACTTTCCTCCTTTCTTCTTCCGACCTTTGACTCGTTTTCTTCATATTCTCATTTCTACATTTTCTTTATGCTCCCATAATCTCCGCTTTTCATGCTCCTAGAATTTTTGTTTCTTTACTCTTTCTGTTTTCTTCATACTCTCAGAATCTCCGTTTCTTCACGTTCTCGTTTTCTACAAGCTCCAAATATCTCCATTATCCTCACTCCCAGAATCTTTTTCTTTTACACCCCAGAATCTCCGTTTTCTTTGGACTCCTAGACTCTCCGTTTTCTGTAAACTCCCAGAATCTCCGTTTTCTTTACGCTCCCAGAATTTTCTTGACCGTGAAGCCCGGAACGGAGTAGAAGAAGAGGACAAAGAAAATGGTCAGAGCAAAGAAAACGAGGAGCTTGATGATGGCCCACTTGTAGTTGTGCCAAATGATGTAGCGGATGCTCTTCAGAGGGTTGAGGAACCACATGAAGGAGGTCGGGGCGGCTGGGAGAGAAGAAGGGCGTGTGGTTAGTAGTGGCAGAAGTTTTTTTTTTTATTGGTTATTGGATTTTTGCCATGCATGTTTTTTTTACCTGTTTTCCTCTACTTTGGTCTCTTGCTAACTATCGGTCTCTCTCTCTCTCTATCTATCTCCTCCACTCCACATTCTCTAATTTTCCCCACTTCCTCCTTCCCTCGAAACCTCTCCCTCTTCCCCCTATCCCCCCTACCCCCTCCATCTCCTTTCCTCCACCTCTTTCATTCCCTTCATTTATCTATTCACTTATTCATTCATCATCTTACTTCGGCTTCTCCAGGGGATCCGGCTCGTTGCGTCCGAGTCCAGCCGGGTTCTTCTCCGCCTCGTCCTTCGTTAACAGGTGAATCTCGGCCTCGACTTTGCCCTGTTAAATATTCATGGTTATAATTACAACAAAAAACAAGAAGCGAAAATGATAACCATGATGATAATTTCTTATTTATTCATTCCTGGTCATTTTGTATATGTATTTTCCTGCGTGTCTGATGCATGACTATTTTTCGATTATATTCCAAACTAGCTACTTGTGTTTTTTATAACTTCTAATACACTGTACAGTCTTATATGTGTGGATATTATTGTACATGCATTATAGAGTGCATTATTCTATACTAGTGTCTTGAGTATAACATTTTAGAGGTTATTATAGAATATTAGGTTGACTCTTAGACATCTCTCTTTTTTATTCTTATTTCATTCATTTTTATTTTAAAATTCTGAAATTACATTTAGCACAACTTTTTTTTTCAAGAGATTTTGCAAGTCTGGGAGTTGGCAGACTCCTTTAAGGAAAATTATGTCATTAAAACTGTGAAGGCAAATATGTAGTTATAAAATGTCATTATGATATCAATGGAAACTGTAATAATAATCATAAAATGTTTTAATACTGAAACAAGTTCTAAAATATTATCTGCTACTCATCCGCTCATTATAGCACACGGCAACAAACACTATCTCATGAAGTATCACATGACAGAGTATCATGCAACAAGGAATCCCATGACACAATTTTTCATATGAATATCGTGAAATACAGTACTGGATGACAGTGTATGACACGAAATTATATTGTCAGAATATTACATAACACAGCGCATAACAACATAACAGCATATCCAACACTGCACATAACCTTAACAAGGCATTCCGCAAAACACAACTCTCCATAAAAGATGAAAGTGACATAATTATTATCATTATTAAAATGTGGCGCGAAAATACATTTATTACACCATTTGCACCACAGAGTGACAGACGCACCATGACAACACCACGGCTTCAAACACCAAAGCATCACACCGTCACATCACCCCACCACAACACCCGAACGCCACAAAACCACCAAACACCACACAGGACCCACCGTAAGCTCCATCTCCTCGTTCTCCTTCTTGATGTAGAACGGCCACCAGCCCTTCACTCGCCTCTGCTTGAAGATGTTCACCATAGGAACCGAACCGTCCGTCTTGAGCATGTCCAGGGTGCACAGCTTCGAGTTCTTGGCGCCCCGAGGGAACCGGTTCAGGTCCAGGGTTATGGCGCCCAGGAAGTCGTCGGCAGAGAAGTGGTCGGCGTCCCATACCTGAAGGAGGAGGAACAGGTGGATGAGAATATAAATAATTTGTATAAATATTTACTTAATATACTTATTATATTTATACCACCTACCCATCCACCCATACACAGGTGGATGGGTGGGTGGTGCGTGTGGTGTGGAGGGGATGTTGAAGAGGAGAGGGAGAGGAAGGGGCGTGGAGGTGGAAAGGAGGTTTCGAGATGGATTGGGGAATAAGTGGACAGATCGAGGAAAATATAAGTGGATGGTAGGGTGAATTGTGAGGCACGGAGGGGAAGAGAGAAGAGAGGGGAGTATGGAGGTGGATGGTGGGTAGGTGGAGGGATAGGGAGGTAAGGAAGAGGATTGGTAGAGTGGAGGAGGATGGAGAGGGAGGGGGTACATCGATGGGTGAGATATGGGGATAGAGGAGGGTAGGGGGGAGGTGAACGTCCGTGCGGCTTACTTTTATCGTTATTATAATAGTAGTGGAAGTAGTTGTGGTTGTAGTCATAGCATAGTAATAGTGGCATTAGCGTTCGTAGTAATAATAGTAGTACCATTAGTATAAAGTATTATTACTATCATTACCGTCACCTTTGCCATTATCCTTAACAATAGTATTATTATTTATTATCATTTTCTTCCTCCTTCTTCCCTCCCTCCTCCTCCCCTCCTCCCTCCTCCCACTCCCTCCCTCTCTCCCTCCCCTCCCCCTCCCTCCCCTCACTGCAACTCCAACCTCGCCGGGATCTTGCACTCCGTCTCATCCCACGAGAAGAGTGACTCCTTCCGGCTGATGACGATCTTCTCCTCGGCGACCAGGTACTCGAACGGGTACACGAACCTCCAGTTGAAGTTCCCTTCGCCCGTCAACGACCGGTGGATGTCGGTGCACTGGGTGTCCTCGGGGCCCTTGAGCCACCTGGAAGGAGGGAGGGGTGAGGGCGGGGCAGGTAAGGCGGTTTGTTGAAAGGGGAGGACGAGCTGAGGACGAGGGACGTACTGTACGTACACGAGGAGTGTATATTGAATGTTTGTTGTAAGTGGAAAACGAAAGAAAGAACAAGAAGACACACATATATCTATATATACATACATACATACATACATACATACATATACATATATATATATAATATATTATATATATATATATATAATATATATATATACATATATAATACATATATACATACATATATACATATATAACACAATATATATATATATATATATATATAATATACATATATATATAATATATATAATATATAAATATATATATATATATATATGTATATATATAATATATATATGTATAATATATATATGTATATATATATATATATATATATATATATATATATATATATATATATTATATATAATATATACTATATATGTGTGTGTGTGTGTGTGTGTGTGTGTGTGTGTGTGTGTGTGTATTAGCAGTTCCAAATTCCATACAGGGATTTTTTTAGAATATATTATTTTAAAAGTGGATGAAGTAGATTTAGAAAATAATAACTCATAATGGTCATGATTTTTTCTAGGTTATAATATTTTACATCTAGTATATAACCTATTCCATTTTAAAGATATTAAAGAAGGTAAAATCATCAATATTTTGAAATCATATGTTCTTTCTCTTTCATGAAATAATTAACGAATAATTGGATAAATAAATATAATATTCCTTTGTTTAGGCAAGAGAAATGTAAAAAGAATCAAATCGCATAAAAAAATCTATCCATAGTAAATAATCTGTCCATAGTTAAGGAATATGTTCATTAACCTAGCTTAATCAAACTAACATGTTAATATCAAATATATTCATTGAACTCTATTATGATCAGCTGTCAAAAATGATATAGAAAATTACATTTATATTCGTTTTGCACCAAGTAACTGAAGGTTAAATGGATGCACGGAAAATTTAAAGACAGAAAATTTGTAAAAAACAGATTGGACATTAGTTACCAAAATATTCAATAAAGAACATGCCATAAACTGTATATATGCTGCATATGTGATATATATACATACATACATACATACATACATACATATATATATATATATATATATATATATATATATATATACTATATATACATATATATATATATATATATATATATATATATATATATATATATATATATATATATATATATATATATATATACACGAGTACGAATATGTGCAGCATATATATCATACGAGGACGCAATATGCATTTCCGTGTTATACGTAAATGAAACAACAGATTAATATAGTCATGCTGGACACGTGAATCACATGTTAATATTTAGTGAATAAAAAGTTTCGCATTCTTTTATTGTAAAATATACGAGCTGATCAGTGAATATGAACAATGCGCAAGAATGTAAAATGTTAAAGATGATGAATGTGAAGTACAATGATGATAATGATATATAATGGTGATGATGATAATATTATAATCATAATACGAGAAATAAAATGAATAATAGTGTTGGCGATAGTGATAATGATAACAATAAAAATGACAGAATCATCATAAAAGGAGTGGTGATGAAAATTAATTTGTTTACAGTGCCAGTGGTATTAAAAAGTACTTTTACTACTACTACTACTACTACTACTACTACTACTACTACTACTACCGCTCTTACTACTACTAGTTTTACTGTTCCTACAACTACTACTACTACTACTACTACTACTACTACTACTACTACTACTACTACTACTGCTATTACTATGGCTGCTACTAATACTACAACTGCTACTACTGATATGATAATAATATCAATAATAAACAATAATATACAATGCATTAATGATAATGGCTATAATAACTATAACAATTATAGTAATAAAATAAATAATAATGATAACGATAACAACAATAACACTGATAATAATGATAATAATAATAATAATAATAATAATAATAATAATAATAATAATGATCATAATAATATAATAACAATAATAATAATAATGACAATAAAGATAGAATTAATAAAAACGACAACAACAATACTAATAATGATAATAATAATAATAATAACAATGATAATATGATATAACAATAAAAATATAAAAATAACAACAATGAAAATAACTAAAATATTAGCAATAATAATGATAATAATAATGACAATAATCATAATCATACAAAATAATATCAATAGTAATAACAGTAATAATAATAACATCAATGATATAATCAACAACAATAACAATAATAATAATAACAAAAAAATAATAACAATAATGATGATAATAACGACATGAAAGAAATGTTAAGAATAACGATGTTAATAACAATAGAATAAAAAATAATGCACATAACGCTAATGAAGAGAGACTACAAAAAAATAATAACAAAAACAACACCATACATGGCAAAGTAAAAAAAAAAATCACACAAAAATTAACCGTCGAGATTAAAACACCGGAAGAAAGTTATTTTTTTAACATACTTTATTTTCTTTTTTTTAACGGATAATGTAAAAAAATATATGTATATGACAGTACATAAGAAACACCAGGGAGTCGTCGAGATGTTCCATTGTCAATTTTGTTTCAATGTTTATATTTACGTGTATAAAACAAACACACATATATGTATCTGTTATATACATCTATTTATCTATCAACACAAATACAAATATAACGCTTATCTATCTATCTATCTATCTGTATATATATACAAATACACATACATAACACTTATCTATCTTTCTACCTATCTACACTCACACACACAGTATCCAACCATCTATCTTACCTATCACACATACACACACATACATAAATAAAAACATGTTCCCCCACAAATCCCCCTTTTTATGACACAATCAACTGGCAAAATTATGTGGCATATGACAGATCCTTCAACCTCTCGTTTTTTTTTTTTTTTTTTTTTTTGAAATGACAAGACGCTTCGTGACGTGAATGCAATCTACGGAAGCATGGGTTTCTGAAAGCACGAGTGCAGTGTATGGGGATGGGTTGCTGAAGAAAATAATATATGAAGCGGGGTGTCACACACACACACACACACTCACACACACACACACACACACACACACACACACACACACAACACTCAAACACTCACACACACACACACATTGCAAAAAAACGTTAAAATCATACTGAAAATGCGTTTATCATCACAACAAAAACTGATAAAGCGAAATTTAGATAAACAAAAATATATACACCAATGAATCTAAAATCGATAATAATATTATTGATACAGAATCACCACAGAAATTAATACTCAAAAGCCAGAAGAAGCCAAACCTAATAACAAATAACAAGAATAAGGGACAACGACCAATAAAGACAAGAACAAGACTATCACAATAAAGACGACACAATGACGACTAGCAATAAAAAACAAAAAAAAAAAAAAAACAAGCAAACAGACAGGCTACGATACATCACGTCCACGATACGACACAATCACAACATTGTTACAATCACAGAGGGAAACACAATCACGAGACGATGCCTTGTGATGCAACAGAATTCGGGAAAATCGAAATGAAGTGAAATAAGAATAATTTAACAATCACAAGATCACGGGAAAGATTACGCAGAAGATAAATGCATAATGTGCACGAATAGAAAATATAGAAAACAATAATAAAATATAATCATAATAATGGTGATAGGAATAACAATAACGATAACAATAGTAATAATAATAATGATAATAATAATGACAATAATAATAAAATCAATAAAGACACTGATGAAGATGCTAATGCTAAGACCAATAATAATAATAACAATAACAATTAATTATAATAATAATAATAATAATAAGATAAAAGTTATGAATGATAATAACAATAACAGTAATAATACAAAAAAATAACAATAATCATAATAAGAAGGAAATATAATAACCATAACAAAATACGTAACACCACAGGCAATACGTCAGGATTCAAGTTATCTGAGTGGCTGTCAGTCCCTCCCCAACCCCCCCAACCCCCCACCCGGGATGTTAAAATGTGCGTGTTTATTGTATTTACTAATTTGTTCATCTGATGTTACTTCTCCACTTAAGCCTGGTACCCTTCCCGCAAACGTATTCATATTTGACAAATTTGTAATAGCTATTAATATCATCATTTTAATTTTCATCAATATTATTACTATGATCATTACTAGACTTCTGTGTAGTATTAAATTATCGATATTTTTTATTATTTTTATTATTGTCATTACTATTATTTATGATTTTCTTATAATCATTACTTTTGTCACAGGGATGAATAAAAAATTAAGTATAAATTGAGCATTTAGGAAAAAACATGATTATAAAATCTAAATAAATCTTATCATTTTATGCAAAACTCATTTAAATTCACGCTTGTCATGGAATTTTCCTGCATGTTGCATAAATGTTATTTATCGCACTCCCTGGAGGGTTAGGAACCAAGCGTTTTGTGTATGTATTCAAGGGCGTGTTCGTGTATGTGTGTGTGTGTGTGTGTGTGTGTGTGTGTGTGTGTGTGTGTGTGTGTGTGTGTGTGTGTGTGTGTGTGTGTGTGTGTGTTGTGTGTGTAAATGAGTGAGTGAGTGAGTGAGTGAGTGAGTGAGTGAGTGAGTGAGTTAGTAAGTGAGCGAGCGAACGAGCGAGCGAGTGTGAGTGAGTGAGTGAGTGAGTGATGAGTGAGGAGTGAGTGAGAGTGAGTGAGTGAGTGAGTGAGTGAGTGAGTGAGTGAGTGAGTGAGTGAGTGAGTGAGTGATGTGATGAGCGAGTGTGTGTGTGTGTGTCCGTATGCTTGTGTTCACGCGTGTATGCGTGTACGTTCGTGTCCGTGTCCGTGTGTGTGTATCCGTGTATGTATCCACGTATATGTGCACATGTTTGCCTTCCCATGTGCATGACCCAAACCCGGCCCAAGCCACCCACAGATGCTGCATCATTGCCAGAGTTCGCGAGACGCCAAAGGACCTCATGAGGATCCTACAGTGCGATACAGTGCAAGACTCGTACAGTGCAGAGGTACAGTGCCTGAGGGAAATGTCAGTGCCAACCACCAACCTCCAGAACCCCTTTTGATGCCTTAAATTCCCCTTGAGTGACCTGGATGAGAGAATAGTGGGTTAGACTAAGGGAATATATGATGTGGCGCGGGGTTGGGTATTGGGCAGCCCGGTCGGAGGGTTGCCGTTTTCAACTATCTCTCACTCTCTCTCTCTTTGTCTTTCTTTCTGTCAGTCTCTGTCTCTGTTTTCTCTCTCTCTCTATCTATCTATCCTCTTCTTTCTTTCCTTCTTCTCTATCTTCCTTTATTTCTTTCCTTATCTCTCTCTCTCTTACTTCTTCCTTTCCTTCTTTCTCTATCTCTACTCTCTCTCTCTCTCTCTCTCTCTTAATCCACCCTATTACCTGTCTATCTATATACCTCTTTACTTCTCTGTTTCCTTTCTACCAATATTTGCTATGAGTGTGGGTATTGTAAGGGAAAAGTTAATAGGTAAACCATAAAACAGATTAAATTCCCATCAAAAGGTAAACATCAAATACATCACACATAAAAGTATATTCATGTGCTACACATACATACGTGACACACACACACACAACACACACACACACACACACATGGACAACTCCCTACAGTTCCAACTGATACACCCATAGGGTACAATCGCGGACAAAACTCGGTTAATGAATTGGAGTTTCGAATCTTTTTTTTTTACCCTATACAAATAGTGAGGGCCGGATTTTCAAACGCGTTAAGGCGCCGTATCCTTAAAGCGCCTTAACTTATGGCCGAGCGATCTTACGACCCATACACAGAGCAGGGAAACCGCCATATTGGTGCGAGTTAAGGCAGGGGGAGAGCAGCCTTTAGCCCCTTTCCGGCGGGCGAGAAATCAACACTCTTCGCTCTTGTACAAGGGAAAGACAGCTGGGGCCGGATTCTCAAAAAAGCCTTACGTTAAGGCGCACTAGAGGCCTTAACCGTCCTGCTGTATTTCCCTTATATAAGAGCGAAGAGTTTTGATTTCCCGATCGCCGACAAGCGGGGAAGGCTGCTCTCCCTCTGCCTTAACCTAAGGCCCCTTAACTCGCATCAATATGGTGGTTTCCTTGCTCTGTGTATGTAAGATCGCTCGGCCGTAAGTTAAGGCGCCTTAAGGAGATACGGCGCCTTAACGCGTTTGAGAATCCGGCCCCAGGACGGTTAAGGCCTCCAGCGCGCCTCAACTTAAGGCTCCTTTGAGAATCCGGCCCGAGGTACTATGCTGATCTTCGAACCGGAATTCGAAACATGCTTGACAAAAATTTTGACCCCGACTGTACGAGGAATTTATTTATTTCTGGCAATACATGCATAGTATCCAGTATTCTGTGAATTGAATGCTATGAATGAAAAAAAATCCAGTTTTGTCCGATGTCAACATCATTGCTTGAAAGAGGAATTGGAACTAATATACCTGGTAACTTAAGCACAATCATTATTGCAAAACATCGATGACAACGTTTAATCTCAGATCATTTTCTGACAAAAAATATGTTTGTAAAGATATATATAAGTTTTCGTTATAATCATGAAGGTAAAACACATTAATTTGTGAAGGCAAACTAAGAATCGCATATTATAACCGTAACGTAAATCGTAAGGTTTTCTCACCCGATTCATTGTCTCTCCGCGACATTCTTACGGAATTTATGAATGACAAATTACCCAATTACTGAATAGCTTGTTTATGCTGACGACTCGGGTCATATGGAGTGATCCGCTTAAACTGATTCAAGACTTGCAGAGAACATGAGATCAGAAAATTCTGTCAGGTCGTCAGAGACAGGAGCTAGATTACGCACATCCCAGGTCGATATTGATGCTCCATTTTTCTCTCTCTCTCTCTCTCACGGAATACTACATACTACCCAAGTGTTGCCAGATGATATTGGTCACCTCCAGATTCGTAGTGTACCAGTTGGAAATGTGGGAAACTGTACATACATACAAACATACACACAAGCACACACACACACACACACCCCCTAGAAAACCCATCCCCTTCCCTTCTCTCCCTACCTCCTTCCGCCCCCTCTAATCAACCCCAATTCCCCCTCACCTTCCCCTCCTTCTCCCTCCCCTTTCCCACCCCCTCCCAATCCTCCCTCCCCTCCCCCCTCCTTCCCACACCCCACCACTCACCCCTTGACGTAAATATCCGACATCTTTTCGCCGGTGAAGAACGCGTCGTCCTCGAGAACCACGTCGTCGGTATTCCAAATAATGACACGGAGTTCGTAGCTCTTGGGTTTTCTGGGCGTGACGTCGAGGGGCGGGCCGGGCAGGGGCATGTCCATCGGGAACATGTCCACCCACATCTCGATCTTGCCCTTGGGGGTAAGGGGGGGGTATTAATGTTTAGGAGTGGGAGTGGTATTGCTGTTCTTTTTCATTGTTATTATTTTAATCACTATTTCACTGATTGTCAATAATCTTGCCATATTAACATTGTGAGTTTTTATCATTATTTTCATCAGCAGCATTATCAACATCAACTATCATACCACTCATTATACAAAAAAATACAGCAACATTTGATAACATAATAAAATCTTCACAATAACACGCATCACACACGAAAAATGAGAAAATAGATTAAAAAAATACCTGCTCTATGCCTGGCTTATCAG